GTGAAAAAACGTGAGTTACCAAAATAAAAAAATAAAGATTAAAAGATACAGAGAAAATGGGACTTCCAACACCCGTGCAAGACCTGGTAGACCACCAAACCGTCAACATCAGATTAACAGCACTTAACGCTTTCATCTTTGAGAGAGAGGAGAAAATCAAGCTCCACTCTTACTTCAGATCTGAATAAATCCACAGGTGTTTCTGTCCATCCTTCCACTGTGAGAAAGACAAATCAATGCTGTGGGTCTGAAAGGATGTGTAGATGTCAAAAATCTGTTACTGAGAAAAGGAAATAGATAAATAGACAAAGAAAATTTGTGCTAGAACACCGGAACTGGATATCTGAGATGCAGAGTAAGGTTTTATAGACTAAGTTTGAGTAAAAGAGTAAAACTGAGTTAATGCAACCAACTTCTAAGACTGAGCTTTGGAGGTGTGGAAAAAGATCCCTGCAGATTTCTTTGAAAAACTGAAAGCAAGTCACAAAAGAATGAAGGCTGTAATAAAGGCAAAGGGAGGAAACATTAAATAAATTAAAAAATAAATTATTTGTAGTCGTTGAGGCTTCTGTGTAATTTTCTGTTAAATATGTTTCCTTCTTTGTTCCTGACACTGAAAATTGTACTTTGTTTTCACAGGAAATTTAATAAAGGAAGGGTATTCTCTGGCTTTTGCACAGTACTGTAGGTAATGTAATACAACTGTTGAAATACTGTCACAAAATTTACATTCAACATATAAAGTATCTACAGTGAATTAAACATTATCCCTCAGATGCATTTTGGGTAGTAATGACACCCCTTTCCCATCATAAAACAAAGTCAGTTCTATGGGGAGGAATATTTTCAGTAAATATTTTTGGTCAATTTATGGCTGTTGAGAGAGTAATACAAAAGCAATTAGGTCCTCACATACTGGCAGTCATAAAAAGTCCTTTTGCCTTTTCTTGGAGCTGATACAGAAGTAATGCATCTCATCTTTACAACCCCTCTTACAGCACCTTATTTCTTATTCAGCACACTCAGTGCTGTGCCTGAGACCAGTTATAGTGGCAGAGCGATAAATTACCAGGCTATTTAACGTAAAGGAAAACAGCTCGGGAAAGACTATATCAGGGTTGGAGAAGGGCATGAGGTACAATCAAAACAATCAGGTTCTGGTGTTCGATACATCTTCAGGACAAAAGCGGGTACTACAGGGTGTTAATTAAAAATATTTAACACATTTAAACAAAATGCAACACACGTGTAATTGTGTTTTAAACCTCTGAACGGCCACTGTATCATTAGCAACTATTAGCCTTAAAATATTAATGACTTGAGGACCCTGGCGCATGTAGTAAATCACGTATGCAGATCATGTAAGGGGTCTCAAGTGAACAGAGCCACGGAAATTAAACATTCGGTTGAAGCAGTGCTGATATGTTCCTCCATAACTAAAGCAAAGCCCCACTGGCCCCTTTCGCCCCCTTTCTCTCAGAGCAAAAGGACCTCGTGTTATAGGTTATGTTTAATTAAGGAGAAAGGGAAATGAAGGCAATGCCATAAAGGAGTTTTTGGGAGCAGAACATATGTGAATACCTTGTATCTGAGGATTTAGTCCGTGCTCTATGATCCGCAGTCCAGCAGTGATTATAACTGGCTGTGGCAGTTGTGGCAAAAAATCAGAGTCACCTTAAGACGCTTTCATATGTTTGGATGTGATTCTCGCAGCTTGTAAATATCAGCGCGATCACCCGGCCTTGACAGCTGTCCAGAGAGATATGATAATGTATTCTGTATGAGAATCACCTTGCTGAACTCGAATAGCATAGTTTCATCTCTCTATACCGTAAACAGACCAGATCACAGGGAATAATTCTCCGCGGCTAAAAATAGCTAGGGTGTGAACTCTGTAATTAATCTAATTTGAACCGCCGTATGCTCAGATCTGACTTACGATGGCAGTACACGTCTGCCCTTTGAGGCTAGGACACAAGGGTGGATTCTGCTTCACATGCTGTTTTTCTGGATGGAGTCACAGTTCATAAGGCCACTGATACCACTAACACAGCCTTCAGTGAGATTTACTAAGTAATTACATCTTTAGTACCAGTGTGCAATCCAGAGACAGTGCTCCTGTGTTTTATAGATGCCTATTTCTTTTTTTAACAGTCAAGCAGATGTAGCTGGATGTGTTACTTAAAGTGAACGCATAATATTGAGTTTAACAGCAAACAATAAAGATTATAGTCTAACTATAAGTTTAAAATTGTAATACTCATTAGTGTCCTTTCAAGGTTTTGACATTCTGGAAATCAGCCTCTTCTTAATGCACTGAAACACATAATATGTAATTCATTAAATTACATTAAAAGCAATACAGTACAGCAATATACACGCAGGGTGCTCTCAGTCACCCTTTGCATGATTAAAGGGTTCTCTGCATCATGAAATGTTCTTCAGATTGATGAATAATGTGTTTTATATGGTTCTTTATAGCACCAAAAAGGGTTCTTCTATTATTGCAGGTTTGACATCATAACAATAGAAGAACCATTTTTGGTGCTATATAAAACTCTTTTCAAAACCTTCTATATAGAACCATCTACAGCACCTTCTCCATCAATCTGAAGAACCATTTAACGATGTAAAGAACGCTTTAATCATGCAAAGGGCTCTTTGAGGGTTCATGGTTCTATGCAGAATCATTTTCTTTACTAAAGAACTCTTGAAGAACCATCACTTTTAAGAATGTGTGTCAAGACTTATAAATTACTTCAGTTAGACAAAGTTAGTACTGGTGTCAGTACTTGAATCTGGTCGACATTTAAGGATCAGGTATCGGTATCAGAAGCAAAAAAGTCATATCGCTTCATCCCTAATTACAATGTGTGCATCAACACGCTTGTTGCCAAAAGTACAGTATTGTGCAAAGGTTCATTTAATTTACTGTGAAAACGGCTATCATATACATCTTATTCATTTTTCTGCATCAGGAAAAAGCATATACTTAACAAAAAACAACACAGAAACCTACACAACTAAATATAATATTCATTTTTTACTATAGCTTCTGCTATTTTCAGCAGACTTGCTTTTAGTGTTTCAAAGAAATCTACAGGGATATTTTTTGATGGCTTAAAAAATCTGAGGAGTTGAAAAACTCCAGCAGCACTGCTGTGTCTGATTCACTCATAGCAGCGCAACACACACTAACACACCACCATGTTAGTGTCACTGCAGTGCTGAGAATGATCCACCACCTAAATAGTACCTGACCTGTGGTGGTTCTGGCCATTGAAGAACAGGGAAATAGGGGCTAACAAAGTATGCAGAGAAACTGATGGACCGCAACCTGTAATTGTAGAACTACAAAGTGCACCTAAATGGTGAGTGGAGCTGATAAGATGGACAATGAGTGTAGGAACAAAGATTTTTAATGTTGTGGCTGATTGGCATATGTAAATATGTATATGCACATACAGGTACACAGATATGTGTGTGTGTCTAAAATTATATTATATATTAGTAGTATTTACTATTATATAATTAGTAATAAGAATCATATTTAACAACTGTGTAAACAGTTTTTAACAAACTATGTAAAATAGTTAAAAACAGAACTAAACAATATTTATAGGTTAACCTGAGGCATGTACTCGTTAGACCACTGCAGCTTCTCTGGCTCTGCAAAAATGTTGCTGAATGTTGTTTCACATCCAAATTATTTAAGTAATTTATATCACACGTGTCCCGTACACTTGTGCTACATTGTCAGACTATGCTGGAGTTCTGTAAATATTACATTTACTCAGGCTATCAGTAGCAGCGGTTCTCAGCAGTTTTTGGCTTGGTTGAAGCAACATGCTGCGCATACACCCACTACTGCTTTCTCACAAAATATCGGCATTACAAATTTTGCCATGAGCATTTTCACTGATGCTTGTCAATCCACACTGCTGATACGAATGCATGTCAGAAATTATTTTGTGGTATCGACTCACAGATATCAGCATCACCACTGCTGATACCTATACCGCGTTTTAGAGCCAGGGTCTGCACCTTCCAATACTAATTGGAATCAAGTAAATACAATGCCTTGTTTTTTCTCCATGTGCCATGAATTATGCAGAGTTCCAAAGTTATGAGAATTCTTCACCACAACTTTTTCCCAGACAACAAGACTTTGTAGAATGGGGTCCAGACTTTTAACTAGTTAAATGTCAGCGGTGGATTTGCTCCATGAAGGACACCAAAATAACAGTTTTGAATTGTTTGCCACGGGTCTGAGGGATTATTGCAATGCTTCACAATAGCATGTAATCTACCGGTCTGCAGGGAGAGGAGCTCAGAATTAACATTATCACAGCACTGGGAAGAAGCCAGATTCTGTGTAAAGTCCATGTCTATCGAAAAAATAGAGGAAAGTTTGTTTAAAAAAAAAAATGGTAAGCTGCCCCCTTTGGAATACTCTGGTTCTCAATCCACTTATTTACGGAGTTTAGCTTTAATGGTTTTAATTTGAGCCCTGACAAGTGTGAAGGAAAGAGATATGTGGAGTATCGCACATTTCCAACTGGGGTGTGTCAAACAAATATGTTACTGCATCACTTCTCTGCACAGCATTGACTGCACACTTTCCACAACATTTCATCAAACAACATGACTAAATTCTGGCGTAAGTAAAGTAGCAAACTATCTAAAAATTGTGGTAAACACCAATGTACTTACAGGCCCTAGAGTGCATTAACTGGACATTTCCATTCCGCCACATGCTATCACTGTCACTCAGTGAAGAAGGTGGATTCACACAAATGATAGGTCAGTCAAGGTGTACAATAATAATAAAGCATTGACAGATATATCGACCTTACGGTGCGTTAAGCTCAGTTCTCACTGACATTTCTTACATGTCAAACAGCAAAGCTATGCGGCAGACAGGTGTACTTATTACCAGCTTCACTGAATGACCTCTAATGCACTGGGGACCAAACCGCTGTCTTTCTGGCTCTTCACAGGTTGATTTTGAGCAGTTACTCTAAGATGAGCTCCAACTGCTCAGACGAGTTTTTCCAGGCCACAAACCATGCGGAACAGACCTTCCGCAAGATGGAGACTTACCTGCAGCACAAGCAGCTGTGTGATGTGCTCTTGATAGCCGGAGATCATAAAATCCCTGCACACAGGTCAGTATTCTCCCAGCCAAATCAAAAGGTTTTATAGATCTCCTGCAAGCAGAACAGACACGACTGAAAAGGGGTATATTTATCCTGAGCAACATTTAATTTTTCAAATGCCTTATGCATACATGCAGCACTTCTTTACTTCTGTACTTCACTGCTTGAGCTTTTGCAATAAAAAAGTAATGATCTGCAGATATGCATCAGCCAGCCACAGCAACAGTTTGAATTCTGCTTGTAAGTGTTTTCTCTTGTATACCATTAGCTCCTGTGTTTTTGATGTTACTCAGTAGGAGAATGCTCTCAGTAGTCAAGCTTCATTGAGTACCTCAACGTGGCACTGAACTCAATCAAGGTCTGTCTAGCTCTGCATGATTTAGTCTGGTGAAAATAAATGCTGCACCACACACTAAGGTGTGATTAATGCCTCTCCCTTAAACACAGAGCATGATAAGAAGAACCAGCCTTTCTTATGAAGACTCGCTATTAAGAAACAACATGCATCTAAGCCTATACTAAGCTTTTTGTTGTTTTCTTTTCCTTCCCTTTAATGACAGACTTGTTCTAAGCGCTGTTTCCGACTACTTCGCTGCCATGTTCACCAACGATGTGCGGGAGGCCAAACAAGAGGAGATTAAAATGGAAGGTGTTGATCCGGAGGCACTAAGATCATTAGTTCATTTCGCATACACTGGTCAGTACCTATGTCTCTGCACACTCTTCTTCAGGGGTTCTTTAGTAAAGGCAATGGTTATGTATAATGGTTATGCTCTTTTATCAAGTTGTCTACACAAAATAGTAGGCATGCACAATCAGAATTGGCCATGACCAGCAGAGTTTTTGCATTCGGCAATCAGCCAGTGTATTTTTATTTTGGCTGATCTGTATTGCAATTTTATGAAATAAATAATGTGAGGCAGGGAAGCACCCTTGCACTGGATTTGAAAGCTGCTGCTACACCTATACCAAAATGCCATAGCATAATTATGTATAATTTATTGTGCTAAACAGCTTGTATCCTCTTATCTTTGATGTAGCATTTTATAAGTCCTGTTACAAAATAAGCAACTGATTTTGTTTGAGAACTTTAAATTTGTTTGGCTCATTAAAATGCATTTTATGTATTTCATGTGTTCACAATGTGATTTTGAGAAAAAAAAAAAATAGCCATTAGTCAGTCTGGCTGAAGAAATTAGATTCAGACATACAAATTCATGATCAGTGCATCCTTACAAAATAGCCCATGATATACACATATATACATATAGGGGAATAGGGGCACCTCGAGCGGTTAACCGAGTACTAGAGGACCCGTAGCCGCGCTCATCACCAAAGGCTCTGCGACTTGTAACAAGGCCAGAAGCCTTTTGGTGCTATACAGTATGGGTGTGCACGGCTACGCGTCTCCTATTACTCGGTTAACCGCTCGAAGCGCCCCTAGTTGAATACTAAAATCACTATTTGGATATTTCTTACGTTTCATCTCGAGAAGACAGAAAAATACACCTTACGGACTAACAATTCAGTGAAATGTCACACTTTAGCTTGTATTTGTGAACAAGTGTGCTGTGTTTGTACGCGAGCGCGCTGTCAAGGACCAGACTGAGAAGACAGAGACTGTGCGGTTGTATCGCTATCTAGGCCAGCTAGCTAACTAACTACTCTAACTAGCTAGCTAATGTTAGATAGGTCCAGAAACAATGAGAATATATTTGTCTGAGAAACAACATGTTGACACAGCGTTCGCACTGAGAAGAAACTACCTTGTGTAAAAGGTAACTAAATGACAACGAGTCCTCATTAGCATTCAACGTGACCCTGGTTAGCTCTGTTAGCTCTTATCTGAAGTGGCCTCATTTACTCATCCAACACGAAAACCTACCGATTTTCCTCAGCTGTTTTTCAATAATAAAACATGTTCCTCTGCGTGCTACAACTCCAGGGCTGTCGCATAATAAGGTTAGCCTACAGCCTTATGCTGTACTATTTTCAGCCAATTATTGTAATATTAGCCGATATTATTTTATTTTTAATTTTCGGCGCTGTTTTTCCTTCCCGGAAATCCGTTCATACGGATGCTCGGATATGGAAATTAGTCATCCCAATGCGCATACCTACTACACAGAACAATTTACTAAGAGTAAAGTATTAAATTTGTCAAACATGCACTTTAAGGTTTTATATAACGTTAGCTATTGCACGCTATAATCCATATTAATACATGAACATGTATTAAAGATTACCAGTACGCCTAACAGTTTACAGCTGCACATCCTCCTATCTAGCTCCCATATATGGTTTTTGGGTCTGTCAAGTTTCTGTCGCTAACTTCTAACAAAAGGAAATTTCAAGACTCTGTCTGTCCATACACACTGCTGTGTGTAGTATCTCCGGCACAGCTGCTAGAATTATTTCAGTCAACAAATCCTGTTCGGTACAGGGTGTTAACAGGGTTTCTGAGATGTCCCACTTTTTTCTTCAACTTCACAGGTGTCCTTGAGCTGAAGGAAGAGACGATCGAGAGCCTATTAGCTGCAGCATGTCTTCTCCAGCTCTCACAAGTTATTGAGGTCTGCTGCAACTTTCTAATGAAACAACTTCACCCGTCCAACTGCCTGGGGATACGCTCGTTTGCTGATGCTCAAGGGTGCATGGACCTGTTAAACGTGGCCCACAGCTACACTATGGTAAGACTGCTGCATTACTTTTTTACAGTTTTTTTGAAAACAAAAATTAAATGAAAGCTTGAAGGAGTATTTTACTGTAATAATGTTCCAGTTTTCATCACTGATGTCCAGTGAGAGCAACAGTGGCTGCATGAGTGTATATGTGATGTATCATCTGTACATCACATATACACTGTGATTCTAACTCCTCTGCAATCGTTATCTCGCTCTCCTTATCATTCTTATAGCTTAGAGCTTGGCGATAAGACAAAAATGTAATATCACGATACTTCAGAAAGTTTTTAAGATACACGATATGTGATAATATTTATTTTTTCCTGACATTTGATAAGTCAGTGTTTTAAACACTATTAAAACAGTAAAAACAATGATTTGTGACAGAAAGTGAGGGAATTTTTCACAATAATGATGAATATTGTGACATTGTCCAGCCCTAGTACAGCGTGTCGATTCTTGTTAAGTCATACAGTTGTATGCAAAGATTTGAGCGTTACATTTAGTTAATTTTATAAGTGAAAATAAGTTAACACATCCTTTACAGGGAACAAATGTAAACATGTAATTTTCTGATAATTTTAGTGAACAATTTCTGTTTATTTGCTGAGTTTGACATATTGGAGAAAAATAAAACATGAAATATGTCAAAACATTTGCACAGGTCTTATTTTATGTTTTATAGTTTTCCCAATATGTTAAATTCAGCTAATAAAGAGTAATTGTGCATCAAAATGTGGAGAAGAGTGTTCTCTGTAGAGGATGTGTTAATTTTTTTAACTTAAGAAAATCTACAAAACATGTCATTTGACTAGGGACGGCCAAACTTTTGCAGTCGATAGTGTGATTGTAGTCCTCTCACTTTCATTATCGTTCGTACAGGTCCTGGATTCTTATTACAGTGGAGCCTCTTCAGATTAACTGTTGCTTTCCACTTTGCTGTTGCTTTTGTTAGTTTTGCTCCTTGTGTATTTATCCATATGTCTCCCACAAGCACTGTCCAGGGTACTCTGTGCTGAAGGTATCACATTGCAATTTTAAAGCTGTATTTGAAATAGAGGGCTACAATCACAGATTCAATCATAGGAAAATACACTGTATGAGCAGCTGGGCTTCTGCCTGTAATTCTTTGGGTGGTTCTAAGGGTCAACAAAATTAGTGGTGTTAATATTTTTTTGCTGTAACACATTATTACCGTGTTAACTCCGACAGCCCTAGTAACGCGTTTAATGAATTAATATAAACCTAATTATTAACGCATCCACAAACCTATGCACATTTTATTTTCCCATTAAGTGATTGATTTCAGGGTGTCTGAACTGACCTCTCGGTGTGTGAGAAATGTAGGAAAAGCTACATTAAGTATTCTCAGGGGCTTCAGGATCCTCTGTACACGTTTGTGAGATGATATGCCTCTGCCAAAGTGCGGAAACAACTGAGGAAGATGGCCGTTATCTCCTGAAGGACATCTGCACAGGCTGTTTACATAGGGCTTCCCAGATCAGCGAGGTTAATCTAATCACAGAGCACAAGCAGGGAAACTTCCTTTTCAATCACTTCAGTAATGGACATGGGGTGAACAGAGCTTCCTGGTCTACCATCCGTTGTATCCAGATTAAAAAGTTCCATTTTGATAAGGCATTTCTTTCCTCTTTTCGCTGTGCAATCCCGACATCCTGTCTCTTTGTGAGAGACTAACAGTGTGGCAGTAGTTTAAGCACTGTGCTGCTCCATGTCTGAGTTAGAGATGTCATTGGCATTTAGCTGTCTCAGAGTGGGGAAACTTTTGAAAATGACACTGTTTGCTGTGTGCCTGCAAAGAGAATCAAGAATTTTAGTGGCCACTTTTTGATAATAGGCAGAAACTGATAGCACAAAAAAAACGAACCAAAAACATTTTGGCCTATTTGTTTTCACTTGATCAGCGTACCACCTTGTCCACTTTTTCAAATCAGTGTTGCAAACACCCACATGTACCCCCTCACTATAAACAGCTTTTAGAAAACACCTTTTAGGCCAAAATCACATCTCAAAACTATCGTGAAAGAATGTTTTAGGCATCAGGCAGCGTATTCACAACCATTTCATTTAATCGCTTTCTGTGAGAAGGATTTTAAAGGAATTAAGCTCATCAAATGGCTCCAAACACCATAACTGTGACAAAATCTGACTCAGTAAGTTGTCTTTGCAGTTTCTCTAGAATGGAGCATTTCACAGCAAACCGCTCAGAGTGTTTTGATGTAAAAACGTGAATTGTAGAAATAGTTACTGAATGAGATGTGTTTACAGTGGTGGTGATAGGAACCAGGGGTCTCGATGACTAACACAAATATAGCTATTTTATTTACTATCCGAAATGACCAGTGAGCCTACATGTGTCTTCTGAGCTTTTATACGGAATTTTGATAATGGTAAAATAGTGGTAAATCTGAAAAAGTTAGTTTTTGGGGGACTATTTTGCCTCACAGCATCCTGTGTGTATCTATCAAAAACTTTTAAAAACTTTTATCTGAAACCTTTTGAAAGACAGTGTCTTTGGCATCAGGCAATATGTTTATAACCATGTCACATAACAGCTATCTGTGAGGTAGCCTTTAGAGACATTTAACAGTTCAGTTTGGTTCTTATCATCACCTCAGTATGTAAATCTGACTCTTTAAGTTAATCTAGAATTAAGCATTTCATGCCAAACAACACCGGATGACTTTGTTTACATCTTGAGGATTTAATCATACAGAAATTTTGGAAAATCTGTGGAATTCCCCTTTGAGTCTATTTCAGATCAATGTTGCAAACAGCCACATAACATACTTCCTTAAAATATTTGCCTTTAAGTGGCCCTTAAGCCAGTGATTGTGGTTAAACAGTATTAATTGCTGAAAATGGATGTGTGCTAATAATTGCAAATAATGAATCTGCATCAATGTCACACAGTAAAGAAAATGCAAGTAAAATCTATATGAAGGAGTGGCTGGAAAAAAAATCAATGCATTCAGCTTCTGAGTTAAGCTCTCAAATCCCGCAGATAGCTTTAGGTGATACACCGCTACTTGAATCTGATTATTGATCAATACGATGTTTGCAGCTCTTATTCATTACATAATTTAATCAAAAAGAATCACAGTCCTTGTGAAGAGGAAACACTTGAAGCACTGTAAGTGATGAAAACCTTATTAAGTATTACCTTTTTAAATCTTTCACATAGAAGATTACAAAGCAGTTTTAGACAACAGTCTCAGATGCCCTTGAAATGACAACCAAGCAAATCACTACGCCAGGAGGATGAGAGCCAGAGAAAAGAGAAACGTGACAAGTACATTCGCTAGATCTAAAGGAGATCTGAACTAGTTTTTTTTTAATTGACCTTTAGAATGTCCAATGTCAGTGTGACTTCTTCATCACAAAGTAGTACAATATGTACAGCTAAGGATAAATCATGAATTAGTGAGGTTCAGTACAATATATATATTTATGAGGCATATGCTATCAACTGGATACTGCAGCTTAGGTTGGACTTTAGTGATTGAATATAATTTGGCATTGATCTTTCAGGAACACTTTCTAGAAGTCATTCAGAACCAGGAGTTTCTCCTGCTTCCTACAATGGAAATAGTGAAACTGCTGGCCAGTGATGACATCAATGTTCCAGATGAAGAGACTATTTTCCAGGCACTGATGATGTGGGTGCGCTACGACGTGCAGCACCGACAACGAGATCTGGGAGTGCTACTTGCGTATATCCGCCTACCCCTTCTGCCACCTCAGGTTTGCTTATGACACACAGTTTATAATGGGACGTGGCATTTGATGCAATATAATGCAATAACTCAATACCAAGGAACAAAGGACATCAAAAGTTTAAACCTTTTTCTTGCTTTTAAATGTCTTTAAGTGCTTCTAACATATCAAATATTCCCTGTGGTTGAGCTGAAATTATAAAATAGTGAAACAAATATTAATAGCCTACATAAACATTTTATTGAATTATTCCTCAACCAAGATATGTGGTGTTAAGTAATGATAATACTCATTATTTTCTAGCTTCTTGCTGATTTGGAAAATAATAAGATGTTTTCTGAAGATCTGGAATGCCAAAAGCTACTGATGGAGGCCATGAAATACCATTTGCTGCCAGAGCGCCGCCCAATGCTACAGAGCCCAAGGACCAAACCTCGCAAATCCACTGTTGGGGCACTCTATGCTGTAGGAGGAATGGATGCCTCAAAAGGTGAGTCATTATTTGTTTCCTCTGAGTTAAACTTAACCTCAAAACACCATGCCATACTGTTCCTTGTTAAACAGTTGACTACCATTCTATTAGTTAAAATCTTTCATCAGGCATTTTAGAAAAACAAAATTGAATTCTTTGCACTGACCGACTGATTTGCATTATGTGATAAAAATGAGGACCCACCTTTCTCAGCTGTGACCTAGCATTTGAAATGCAGCTTTGAAGGCAGCTTTTAGCTGCGCTTCTCGCTGGTACCGATTGTCACGTTGTGCGTAATTTTGCAACACTTTTTCGAAACTGTTTTCAGTGACAGCGACAACTTTTGCAAGCAGTTTTTGCATACAAAAGACACATTGTAAACTGCTTGGAATAAAAGCAACATAAAAGGCCTTGCATTTTTTAGTCTTCAGAAGAACCCTAGTGTTATCCCTCTACTCAAGTTAGTTAGCTACCAAACAGTTTGTTGCAGTGTGACAGAAGTTGGATTTCCTCACTAGTGTATTCCAGTTCAAACTCCAAACATACATGTCTAGGGCTTCAGATTCGTGACAAAAAATCAATCTGCCACATTATAAAAGCCGTACCCACTTGAGTCATACGTGTGCTATGTGACCTGTATTGTTTGTTGATTTTTTATGTTATACAGTGTCAGAAACCATGGCAAGTCGCTTTGAGATTGCTTAGGAACTCGACAGTAGTGTGTGATTCAAGGCAAGTGTGTGATGATTTAGGTAAGCGGTTAGTATTATGCAAATTAATGGAATGGAAGATTCCATTATTTGTTAGGTACACTAGACTAATAGCCCCATGGCAAACGTAAAGACATACATTTGTGACACCACAGCATCTTGGGTGACTGATTTGGGGTAAGCTGACAATAGTGTAAAATTAATTGTTGAATGAACTATCCTTTGAAAGTGCCCACATCATGGAAAATTTCATTTTCTGCAGTTTTGAAATAAAACTTTTGATGTAGTATTAAATACTGTTAAAGTTTGAAAATGTATCACTATTTTCATCACGAAAAACAACACATTTACATATCTGCTTATTCAGCCTATAGCAGTTTAGCTCCACCCTTTCACACAGAAGTTATAAGCATAAGCATATAAGCAAGTTTCAGCTTGGACTGTTTTTTTTTAACCCTGTAAAGGGCCAGGGCCCACAGGCAGGCAAAAAGTATTTAACCTAAGAAAAGCTCAACCAGTTTGCTTTGATGTCCCTGTAGTTACTGAATAATAATACTTAGTATGTAATAAGCCTGGGATTTTAAACGTTGTGTGGTGTTCATGTTTTTGTTACTCAGGGGTCCGGTGGACTCACCGCATTATTGTTTTTTAAAATCATAACCATAACGATTTATTTAAAAATACCAGATGTTTAAAATATCACAAGTGGTCAGTGTAGAGTTCTCCTTTAGCAGCTGTAGCCAGTCAGCAGCGTGTCCATGTTGACCACCCTCACACACACACATATACAAACACATACACACACAGACACACACACACACACACAGAAGGCCATGTAGGAGGAGAACAGAGTGAAGGGACACAGCACCTCCACACTTTTAGCCCCCGCGGGTTCACTCGAACACCATGTGTGTAATATAAATGTATAGGGGGTGTACAGTGTGAAGTCATTGAAAATGTGTTATTTCATATGTTCTTTACAGAAAATGAGCAAAGGCCAAGGGATCTGAGGTTGAAATAATAATAAATCACATCATTTTTTATTTTGGTAAACATTTAAAATGGGTCCCACAGACCTGAACACCACACAAGGGTTAAGGGGTTAATGAGGCACAATACGGCCAGTTAGAACAGAGTTTATTTCTATATATCATAGTAACTAAAACAGCCTGTTTAATTCTAAAGGGATAAAGAGTGGTTTGAAAATGGTCTCATAAAAATGAATTGTTCTTGGTGCATAAACTCACAAACTTTATAAGTGAACCTCAGGGAAAAATAAATACTAGAAAAATGTAGAACAGGAGCCCATTAAACGTATAATAACTGAGAATCAGTGGGATTGTGGCAAATAAACACAGGGTGCACTACCAATATCCATCTGTGTCATCCTCTGGAAACTGCAATCCTTATATCCATAGCTTCCCAAGTGTATCAATTCAGTGATACCTGTGTAGTATCTTTTTAGTACCAAAAACATTTTATATGGGTAAGCCATATAGGTTGACACCTATTAACTTTGGCATTTAAATAGAGCAGCTGATCCAGCTTCCAGGGGATGAAACCTGAAATTGACTGTGTATATTTTTTCAGGTTCTACGACAATAGAGAAGTATGACCTGCGCACAAACACTTGGATCCAGGTTGGCATCATGAATGGCCGGAGGCTTCAGTTTGGTGTGGCGGTCATCGATAATAAGCTCTATGTGGTTGGCGGAAGGGATGGCCTTAAGACATCCAACATGGTAGAGTGCTATGATCCAATCACTAAAGTGTGGTGTACTATGCCACCTATGTCAACCCACAGACATGGGCTAGGTATGTTTTTTCTGGGCTCTTTTATTAGTATTTCTTTGTATGATTTGATTGTAATTTGACACATACATTGCCTGAATCTACTTTGTAATGGGAGCCTTACAAATTGCAATCATTACCAGAGCTTAGAACATTTCTTAGTTTCAGAACATTTCTTTCTCTTGGGGGAGTGAAAAAGTAGAAGTTACTGTTGCTGACTCACAGGGAAAAGACATATATAGTTAAAAAGCCAATATAGAGTGCCATTGTGGGCAGGAAACACACTGTATTTTTCCCTTATCACTGCAGCACCAGGAATCACCCTCAACGTTAAGTGCCTTCCTGTTAGCCCACTCAAGCTTGTCCATAAAACACAGATGACTCATTTAAAATGTGTTTCAACATCTCTAACCATAGCTAGCACTATGGTTTGTTGATGAAAACAAGACCTGCTCCAGAAGGTGAGAAATGCATAAAATATAAATAAAAATACATTTCTCACAAAAGTAGGGAAGGAGCAATTCCCAGAGATACCTTACTGAAGGCAATTTCAAATTTCTAAAATAAATTGAAATATATGCCAATAATGTTTTAAGTTGAAAGTAGTAAAATAACAGAAGGATTTGAAGTAGTGAAAATTGGCCATGCATAGGAAGGTTCTATCATTTTACAGTTCTAATTTAGACTATTAAGACTATTAGCAGTATAAGGGAGTAGAGAATGTGTCTGTTGTGAACATTACAAGTGCGGTATCAATACAAGATTGGCCCATGGGCCAGTAGAGATGTATTTATTCCCCAAAGACAAAATTGACTCATTCTGACAAGAAAACACAAGATGATTAGTCGGAGGCTAACTGTATGCATATGAACAAAGTACCAAGAAATGCAAACTTATCAATAGCCCACATCTATTTCAGTAATTGCACTAGGGCCATTATCTTGCGTGGACAGATCATCTTATAAGGGCTAAATCTAAAATGTAGCACACAATACATCAAATGCAGTGTTGAGCAACCAGCAAATGCATCAAATACAGTGCTGTGCAAAGGTCAGACACCACCCTTCATTTATTTAACATATCAAAATGGCTATTAAGTACAAGTCATTCATTTTTCAGGAGATATTTCTGAGGAGGTTAGTTATAAAAACAGGACTTTCTGAAACTGTTCAAACAGTGGTTAAAAGATAGAGATAGTAGACCTCACAACTGTACAATACTTGGTAGACCACTAAAACTGTCACCATCAGATAAACAGTAATTAAAGCTTTCCTCTTTGAGAGAGAGGAGAACATCAAGCTCCACTCTTGTTTCAGAATCTGAAAAAAGTCACGGGTGTTTCTGTCCATTCTTCCACTCTGAGAAGACAACTCAGTGCTGTGGGTCTGAAAGGATGTGTAACTGTTAGGAAGCTGTTACTGAGAAAAGAAAATAAACAAAATGAAGAACATTTGCAAATCAAATAAAGAAGCTGATGGTGTTCTCAGAACAGGACTGACTGGCCCAGAGTCCAGACCTCAGCATCATTGAATTTGTTTGGCATTACTTGCTTAGTGAGAAGGAGAAAATGCAACCAACTTCTAAGACTGAACTTTGGAGGTGTGGAAAAGTATATCTGCAAGTCTCCTGGAAAAATGGAAGTGCTAGTAAAGGAAAAGGGTGGACATACTAAATGCTAAATAATTTTAGATTGTATTAAGTTGTTGAGGCATTATTTGTAATTTTTGTTATATTTATTTTCTGTTCTTTTCTGATGCTGAAAAATGAATGAAGCTTCTACTTAATGGCTGTTTTGGCTGTAAGTTAAATGAAGGGTGGTCTCTGATATTTGCACTGTACATGGCAGGCAATTTTATATCCAGTATGAAGAAAATGGACTGCCGTGTACTTCTGTGTAATTTACAGTACCTTCATAAAACCAGTGCATGGAGGTTGCACTACGAGGTCTGCACAACATTGCAATACCAGAATCATTTTAAAATGTCGGTCAAGGGGCAATTTATACGTCAAGAGCCAAAAAGCAACAGTCAGAGATTTATAACAGAAGCATGAGGGACCTTTTCTGCAGAGGTGGCAGCAAGATGCAGCATGAATACATAATGCATGCTCTAGTGTCTCAGTGCTTCTGTCCTCAGGGTCTGGCCACTGGGAAATTTATTCAGCTCCTGGTGCTTTGTTTAAGGGGAAGCCCTTTTGATTTTCATCTCAATTAATTCAAATGAGAGTGCCATTTAAATTTTATGATTTTTTTGTAGCGCTGCTTACAACAAAAGGCATCTTCTGAGCGATAATAAGCCTTTGAAGATACATATCATTATTTTGGACAAAAGCACATGCTCTTTTTTTCTTTCATTGATAAGGGATTGCCGTGCTGGAAGGGCCTATGTATGCAGTGGGAGGTCATGATGGATGGAGCTATCTGAACACAGTGGAGAGGTGGGACCCCCAGGCCAGACAGTGGAATTATGTGGCTAGTATGTCTACTCCTCGGAGCACTGTGGGAGTCACTGCTCTTAATGGAAAGTAAGGGATTTTCTCTTTTGATCCTTCTCCAGCTGAACAATATATTTCACACATTTTTCCCCCCTACAATATTTAACACACATTTTTCACATAGAGCAAAGATAGAAATGTTTTATTTGGTAGTTGTTATAGATCTGCTTCAACGATTAAAAGACTGAGGGAACATTTGAAATGAATGCTTTATTTAACAGTAGATACTAGCAGTGCATCAATAATGAATTATTATGGCTGATTCCGATTCTGATTTCTTTATAGCCAAATTGGCTGACGGATAATTTTTTTTGGTTGATTTCTATTATCCTTTTAAAAAAAAACAAACAAACTCCATACCTCACATAGTGTAGGCAGAATGAACACATGAAGTGTGTTCCTGTTCATGTATTTGCTATATTTGTGACACAAATAAAATGTTTTGGCTTTATGAGATAATGTTCTTTGCATATGCAAACAAATGTGACATTATGTTGAGACATAACCTCAAAGAGTTTAAGGGGGAAACATAGCCGCTTTTTGTATATGCACTGAAGGGTTAATTATGGTGAAGATTAAATTTTTAGTACATTTCCTCATAGCGACAGAAATGCCCAACTAAGATTAACAAGGTCATTCACGTATTAATCGTTTTAATTTAGTATAGAATTAATTATGTAACTGAAGGGGAATGTGGAAGATCACCCACAGCGATGAGTTTATGTGTTGCACTTCTTGGTTTATTGTTGTCTCCTGGGGCTTAATCGTGATGGCATAGCCTGCTATAGGTGCTGCCTCCAGCATGCAGTGTTGCTCTCGAATGTCTGGCCAGAGAAGTAATGGGCTCTGAGACCCACAAGTCTCCAATGCCTTTTACATTAGAGTTGTTTGAAAAACCGACAGAGGTCGTGCTGGTGTTTTTTCTATCTGAGGAAAACAGAGGCCAGCTGTATGTCTCACTGAGAACATTGACTGACACACCCTGGGGCATTTCTGAATTCGGGTCAAAATCACAACCTTCACGCTACCTTTCAAGCCTTGTGGCCTACTTTTCAAAGTGATTCACTAAGTGGACTCACAGACTAGACAAGTTTTTAAAACAGCTGCTGAAGAAGAGCTTGTAACAAATACATTTATTTATTAGTAGTTTACATGTATCATTATACTAAATTGGTTCAAAGAGTTCAAAAGCTATTTTGGACTTTTGACTGACCTGGACTTTAGACTTTTTGTTTTGAATGACTATGCACTATTTATGTTTATTTTGTTAGAATATATGACTGAGCATTCCATTTTGTCACTACCAAAACAATCATAACACTACCGAAACTTTACCAACTCTTTCGGTAATAACTATTTCAGTAGTGACAATTTTAAATAATTTTGAGCAGGACATAAAAATACTAGCAAACACAACTTTGAACCATTGTACACACATGAAAGTATAATATTTTTCATTAAAACATTTGCAGAAAATGTGTTTCGGTAGTGACAGTTCTTAAGGTTTCACACTGACATTTTCTTCAAAGCAATGGGATCTAACTGCTCACCATGTAGCCATGAGGGGCAGGGATGCAGTCTCACTTTCTGCTCTAAAATTAAACTCATGATAAATCTGAATCTAAATCTAAATCATGATAAATGTAAACCTAAAAAGGACCAAAAAAAAATGAAGTTGGAAAAAAAAATATTATTTTCACAAGACATTTAGGGGTTGGGATCTGGGGCAGCCACCTCCCAATAGAAAGTAGCCTATAAATTATGATTTTCTGTGTATTTTGCATAGGATGTATTTATTACTATCTCAATTAATGGCTTAAGGCATAGCATAATTCTTGTAATATCTAAGTCATATCTAAGGTCTCAGTAAATATCTAAGGTCTCAATCTTTTTTTTTATTTATTTGGTAGAATGGTCCATATAGTAGATCAATATGATATGAATAGTACATTAATAAATTATATTTACATTCTGTTTGAGGAGAATTCTGATTTTATTATCTGCAATGCATTGTTTCAGATTGTTTGCTGTGGGTGGTCGTGATGGGAGCTCTTGTTTGCGGTCGATGGAGTGTTTTGATCCCCATACAAACAAATGGAGTATGTGTGCACCAATGGCGAAGAGGAGAGGGGGCGTGGGTGTGGCCACATACAACAGTTTCCTCTATGCAGTCGGTGGCCATGACGCACCAGCTTCAAACCACTGCTCTCGCCTGTCCGACTGTGTGGAGAGGTAAGAATTAGCAGTAAAATGCTCTCCTCAGAACAGCTCATTACTGTGCTAGCAAACGTCCTGATGGCTCAGGCACCGAAAGGGCTGCAGTTCATGAAAGATTTTTCTGTCTGTGCCACTAGTCACACCTTTCTCAGTGAAACCGCAGTTACCTTACCACTGTGGAATGTGTTTTCCAGCGCACATTTCCATCCATAATCTGGCTTCATACACCCCCTGCTGATGCTGCAGGGAACAGCAGCCTTCACCTGCAGTATGTTGATCTCAGCGGTAGACTCAAATTAAACAGCATGACAGATTGCTGGATGAATTAAACCCACCTAAATAAAACATAATCAAAGAATGAATAACAATGAGCCAGCACAGTATGCAGTAGGGGGAGAACCATTTTTTTATTGAATTGCTTGATATTTCTTTGCGCTAGCTGTAAAATAATGCAGTAAATTAATCAAATCTACACTCAGCAGATGGTCATCTGAGACAGTCATAAAAATGACTGAAGAGAAAGCTGCTGTTTACCCATGCATTGTCATATCGCTCAGTAGGTGCTGCCATTATCTTCTGCTAACATAAATGCGCAATCTGTCAAACAGTGAATTTAATGGACTTGCACTATTAATTGATTTTATGGAGCCACAATTTGCCTTCTTTAGTCCACCTTTATCTGAAGTGCCTAGCACTGTAACACAGGCAAAATATAATGAGCACTGGTCCCTGCTATTGGATATCAGTGTGCTTAACTTCTGTCAATTTCTCTTCCAATAAAAATCACTGTCCTGTGTTGTAATAGCTTCAGTGAAGGTTTCTTTTTGTTTTTACAGTTGCTTGAAGCTGGATTTCAGCTTTGGTCTCTCTGCGCTGTCGTTGCAGGTATGACCCAAAAACAGACACGTGGACCACGGTGTCGTCCCTCAGTGTGCCTCGTGACGCAGTGGGAGTATGTTTGCTTGGGGACAGACTGTATGCGGTCGGCGGCTATGATGGTCAGTCCTACCTAAACAGTGTGGAGTCCTACGACGCGCAGAACAACGAGTGGACTGAGGTAACTTTGATTAATGTTACACTTTCTTTATGGTCAGATTTACACATTTTATTTATTCTCCACACCTGTTCACCACATTGTTCAAGGTCTATTAAAGTTTGATGGCCCTGGAATAAAATAGCACTTGTTTATTTTAAAGAACACTCCAGGTGTTTTATTTAATTAAACATCACCGTTTTTTGTTTTAGGGTCTTAGAATGTGAAAAGCTGTGAAGCAAAACATTCTGTGAGCATTCACGAAAAGGAAGTGAAAGCCTTTCCTGCTATTCATCTCTTTTTCCACTTCACCACAATAGCAAGCGCACAGCACAGAGTTAACCCCACAGTGATTTAATGAACATGTGTTATTCATCCAGCACTTATGTTGTCAATATTCTTAGAAAACCTCATATTTCTGTAAGCGTAACTTTATAGGAGAAAAGAAAAACGTCTTAATGCCTGTTAAAGGGCCCATATCATGCAAAACCAAATTTACCAAATTTGAAGATTATTTTAAATAACACTAATATTATGCACTCAATTTAGAGTTTTAAATATACCTTTTAGTCTCCAGTCCATACAGTCCATATTTGGAAACTAAGCTGCAAAAAAGGACCTCTTTTGAATTCATTGTTTTTGTGATGTCACAAAACGAACGTATTTACGTATATCCACAGTAACAAAAACAGTGTTCAGTTTTGAGGGATAAAGATGTGTTGGACAGTGGTCATGCAAAATGAATCATGACTCTTTTAACATTTACATTTATGCATTTATCCAGAGCAGCCTACAGTTAATAATAATAATAATAATAATATTGTAATATACAATTATATTGGAGAGTTGTAGCGAACGTAGCATTAAGGCTGCCACACACTGGATGCATTACGCCACGCAGCACAATGTCGCATAGCATCATGTAGCAGAGCATTGCTATACTATAATGCGTCGCAGTGACAGCACCGATAAATGTGAAGTTCACTTTCACGCTCTACTCATATAGATTTAATAAAATAAAACTTTTAACGTTATTTATCACACTTATCATCAGTTTACTAGCTCTGTACAAACTCGAGCTGAAAGATACAAGGTGAAAAAAAATACAAGGATGGTAACTTCAGCTGAGGTGACAGACCTTTAGAATTTGTCTGCTGATCTAAAAGACTGACTGCCTTTCAAGCCATATGTCATCTGCTGTGGCCTTCTGTGGTCTCTATATGGCTGTAATTTAATATAGTAATGCAAAAAGCTAAACACTCTGCATGACATGTCAGCGATAGTGTGTGCCTTCCCTAAAACCAGTTCTTTTGATTTTTTGTATGCTGTGGAACATGATGCATCAGGTGGCCTTTAGGAGTCTTTTCCAAGGACTTTATTGATGTAGTGTGGTGACCTTGTCCAGGCAGGGAATCAAACCCAGACTGCTGTGTGGATGGAAGCAGGATTACCCATTTATGTTACACCAACCAGATAAATGTCTTAAGTTGACCTCAATGAAATAAACTTGAGGAAAAATGTAGGATATGGGCTCTTTAACATAGCATACAAAAACTTAAAAGTAAATCTGGACCATTTGTATCAATCCAATCATTGTGAAATATTCACACGCTGTAAAGGGCACCTGTCACCTTTTCAAATTGTATATAAAAAAAAATAAACAAAACAAATAATTGACAGCGACAGTGTGTTGCGCTCAGACCGGCAATTCCCTGTTTCTGAACCCTTTCCCCTTCCACACAAACTCTCTCTAAGAAAGACCTGCAGTAGAGCAAGATAATCTGTCCAAGAAGTGTTCGTCTGTATGCTGAGTGGGAGCACAGAAGAGTGCATTTGGTGGGGTCAGGCTTATGGACATTGGCCATTAACCTCTGTCTCTCTCGCTGTTCTAGGAGGTCCCTCTGAACATCGGCAGAGCCGGGGCCTGCGTGGTGGTGGTGAAATTGCCTTGAGCGCTCAGGCTTTCTGAGCCATGCTCTTACAGCAGACACACCAGCAGTAGAGAAAAAAAAGAAAAAGAACTCTTGATGTCAACACTTGGAATGTTCTTTCGTGCTCATTCCTCTCTGGCGCGGATGACAAGAATGTGAGGGGCCTAATAGCTGAGTGTTGCTACGGTAGACAGAGAAAAACAGTGTGATTTATTATATCAGTGCTTACCAGATTTTACATCCAACTTTTGGAAATCAAAATTTTTCACATAGAAATGATCTACACCAGTGAATTCATGAAAAATGTGTATCAAAAGTCACTTTTATCAGAGCTATTAGTTTTCATATCCTGTTTACCTCACCATATATATCGTGTTTACCTCATCATACAATTTGAGGTCAGTATTATCATGTGTTACTAACTTTCAGTGACATAAAAATGAAATGTATGTTAAAGGATAGGACAGCTACAAACGTGTTTATTTAATTTTTTGTGTGTTTTGTGGAACAAAAAGTGTAATTTGACTCTTGACAATGCATTTTTGAAGACCACTGTGAGTACATGCAGTTGTGAGCTTGCCAACTAAACACCCACAACCTTTTTTGGAGACCATTCATACACAAAAGTCATTTAATTACACTTTTTTTTAAATGTAAGACTAGATATAGCACGAAATGGACATTTCTTTTAAGAAGCTGTCTTTAAAGTAGCTGCAAAAACACCAAAGTAATTACCACGTGATAGTAGTCATGACTTTCAACGTTTACAAAATAGTGAATTTACAAATATATCATATTGATATTTCACATTACTGTATAGTTTTTTGTAATTAAGCCATGTACATATTTCCAGAATCTGTGTTAAATGTAATTTAGGATCATATTGTTTTTGGCATGCTGCTTCAGTATATTTGAATGCCATTCTGTAATGCTTTCTAATGCTCTCAAAATCCATTTACAGAAGTCAGCACTGATGCATTATTTGAATTCTGACATTTTTTGAGTTTGAGTTGTTTTTTTTCCTTGGCAATGTAGATGAGCATTTCACACGAAACACTGACCTGAAATTTCTGAATTAGAACTTTATGGAGTCTAAATGAATTTTGCAAGTGAGGTTTTGTAGTAAGTGAGATTCACAAATTCAAAATATTTCAATTTTCATTATTTTATATAGCATGCAAACATAAATAAACTTTTTTTCCTCTTTACTCTGTATCTGATTGTTTATTTCCCTGACAATGTTATCCTCTGTGTGCGTTTATCTCCTGTTTTTCTGGTCAGTAGTTTTGGTATCACAGATCATTACATATCTGAATATTTTACTTATTAGACAGAAGAAAGAGCTGAATACTGCCCTCCAAAGGAAGCCAGATGTATATCAGGTTTGGTTAATCAGTTTCACAGAGACTAATTTAGCCACTACAAAATCCCTAAAGACCCTGTATCAGTTATATATTATTATGGAAGGTAGTATTGATTGAGTGCTCTTACTATGCAATATTTTATAGTATTGACAAGAGGCCCAAAATGTCAATGGCATGAAATTATGATCATACCCATCCTGAATTGCACTCTATCATAGTTATTTTGGATTTTTGGATCAATAAGGTCATGCAATCAGGTAGCATCTCTTTTGTAACTACTGTCAGTAGTGCAGCACAAGATTATTGATGATAGATTCAAGGTATCTGGCTGCTCTAATAATCACAATGTATTTCTGTTAGGCTGGACGTTATTGCACTTGGGAGAAAAAGAAAGAACAAAGCTATTGTACCTTAACCTTTAAAAAAATTAATGATTTATTTGTTGATATTCTCAAATGTCAGGAGATGAAAGTGGTGTAACTGACCCACTGAAAGGAGCTGGCAAGATGACCAAGGCATGCAAGATTGCAAGTAGCCTTTGTTCTCCAAGATAACAAGGGAAAGAGCATGATTGGATGTTTCAAAGGGATTAAAATTGATTATAAATGAAGAGTGATGGTTGCACCACATCAAAAGAGGGCCGGAAGAGTGCAGGTGTTGTTTTGGATCCTGTGGATGCTGGAGATGGTAGTGTTTGAAAGGGGCTCTGAAGATACCTGCCCTCCAATTCATGACCTCATGGAGAGCTTCATCTAGGCAGTCTATTCCCCACCTGTCCAGAAAATCCTTGTTATAACACCAGATGAAACAAGAACAAGGCTGTACAGTAGATAAAAGTACACTCACATTTAGCAAAGCTAAAAGATCACAGTGAACTAAGATCACAAATTATGACATGTTCTGTGCTTTGGACACAGAGTGTCACATAAGAAAAAATGTAAGCAGAGTGGTTATTATTAGGGGTCCAAGCACCAAATGTGCTGGATCCTTTTTGTTAATTTTTCTGATTTGCATAAATTATTTTTCTAGCCTGAAACAAATTATGCAGACTGTAAGGCCTACAGAACTAAAACTAGCACTCCCTCCAGCTACTCCGCCACATGAGATGAACCTGATTGGCCTGAGAGGGGTGCTACAGCATAATGTGTTATGTTTTGGCTCATACCTCCTACACTGTGAAGCTTACAGATATAATTTGGGTGCTGCTGAATTCTTGGCCCATATTAAACTAAAATTCATTAAAAACTCAAAATGGCCCCCATGGAAAAAGAACCTGAACCTCAATAATCATCCAAAAAATATTGACATTTGTAAATAGCATGGCTGCCACATTCCAATCAATAATTCTGGATAAGAGCTTTGTTATTAAACCAAAGTAACTCATGAAGGCTTTGTCTGATTCTAATGAAACTTTATAATATGTCAAAGGATTCTGAGATAGCCCAGCAATGTTGAGGCTTGTTTGTCAATAGGGTTTGCTATAAAAGTGCAACAGCTCTTTCTCAGCATCCGTATATTCGACTAAGCTGAGATTTTGCATGCTGAGTTGAGCTTGTTTATAAGTTGGTTTTTGAAACTGACCTGATAACTAGAAAACTGTGGTCCCCATCAGTTAGTCAGCTTTCAGCAGGCATTTTACAGGTTTAACATTGACCAATCATCATAAAATTTAAATGATGTGTCAATGTAGGGACTCTCAATTACCCTTCAAAAGAACTAGCATCTGGGGACACTACTGGATTGCTGACAACCAATCAAGTATACCTTACACATCGTTTCCTTTGAGAACATGAAAATGGATTCAAATAATGCAATTTAGTGAACCTCATAACTTTGCAAATACAAGTGTTTTCATAAAATGTAATGTATTCCTTCTACTGTAAGTTGTTTAAAAACAGCCCATTGCAAACTAGTCTTACAATTTTGATCATTTCAAAATTGGACTTGAAATGATCTCTTGCATCTGTGGGTGCATGATTATCAAATATATATGCAATATATATTATATATGTTATGTAATAAATATATGTTGCATTGAACATTGCAACCTCTGCAATCCTGAATTAAATTGCTATAACACAAAAATAGTCTCATCTCCTCAAAATTTAAAGCGATTATATGAAATGAGATTTAGACAAAGTGTGCAAAATTTGACCCAGATTGGCCTTCAGGGGGTGCTACAGCTGAGACTTAAAATTATTTAAAGTCCAATTGCTATTGTTTTCTTCTTCCTACAGATAAATAACAGGTCTAATATGATTCAGTTTTTCTAGCAGAACAACTTTGCAATTACAAGTTATGTCAGAAATTGAAACGCTTGTGTGGTATTTTGACTTATTTAATCAAAATCTGCAGCTTATATGTACCAATTTATACCAACGTGAAAAGGTCAATCTGTTTTACATTTGATCAATAATAAGAAAATACATGAAGAACTTTTGATAAAGTCTGTCTGGCTATCATTTTTCCTCCTTCTGCAACAAGGCAATTAAACACAGAATGTTTGATTGTTTCAGCTTATTCTCATAAGTCTACATTTCTATCCACATTTAACCAAAATTTCTCATGAGTTGTCCCCAGACATTCTCATTACAAGATCATGTCTGGCACAGCAAGACTAAAAATTAGGCAGTCAGCATTTTCCTCCACATGCCTGCAGCTATGACATTGAAACCATGCACTGATTGGTAACTAGAGCTCCAGTAGAAGCAGATGCTTGCCTTCACGCTTGTGACTTGTCTGCTACATAGAGAGGTGGGGCTTCAAGCTGATTTTGAGATATGTGTGTTTTGTGTTTTGCATTTTTTGAATCACCTCATAACTCAATGGTATTCATAAATGAAGCATTTAAAAACCTAATAATACACGATGTGGTATTTTAATGAGCGTGTTCCACCAGGTGCAAAATATGAACACCTGTTTATTCTCCTTGTAGGCCTACTGTTTTATCTTTGTGGCAAACTGATATTATCCCAAACTATAGGGGGCAGTGTATGCAACAGGTCACAACATATCTAAATATCTCTGCTGTAACCAAACAGATACGGGTGACCTCTGCCAAAGGCCACACTTACATAGTATACTTATGTATCCCACAGTATGTGGTTTTACTTAAGTGTACAATTACACAATGTATTCCTAAAGTTGGCAAAAATGTGCAAAAAGCTTGTTAAGACTGTGAACGTTCAGATGTATCTTTTGTCTTTATGTTTGTCTTCTGTCTTTTGCTACAAACTCCTACAGCCTTGCAGTCCTCATGTGTGTGGGCAATTGAGGACCAACCATAGAGACAAGGCATTACACATTCTTGCATGATATTTCCAAAATAACGCATTAGAACATCACCAGTGTGTTGAACTGTTGCATGTACACTTTGCCTAATGTCTTTGATACAGTATTTGGGAAAGGGTGCATTTAGTTTGCAATTAGTCGTGCACATTGGGCTCCGTTTGCACTTTATCTGAAAACACAAACACATAACACTGCAATGCTCAACTTTGGGACAAGATAGTAGATGCAGTCCACAAAATTTAGTTTTTTGAGGAGCTGTCTAGCTGAGGCTTATAAGTTTTTGGGTGAAGAGAATCACATCAATCACATGGTGAGTCATTCTTAGTATGAGATCTTCTGGGGTCTTGGGAAATATGAGATAAGCACAGACAAACTTTTAGACTTTCTTGGAAAGGCAATATAAAATAAATGTGAAGAGGAGAACTACTTTTAGAGGATCTACATCCAGTGGCTATCTGTATTTATAAAAAAAGATGATGTAAATAAATCAAGTTATTTGTTTAAACCTAGATAGCAACCATATATTGGTCCTCTGGCTTGATAAGGTCTGCATCCCACTGACTGTATGTACTGTACTGGTGACCACTCCAGGTCCACCCTCAGACCACTCAGATTACTGTACTGCATACAAGATGTAAGCAGTTTTAAATCTGTTTAAACATATTTTAAATGCGCACAGCCTTTTATTTTTGGAAAATAAACTAAGAAAATTATTACAAACAATCAAAACTGAAAATTGCTTACACTGTGCTAGATTGGTTGCAGCTGTATAACTGGATTTATTTATGATATTCCTGTTAAAATTATTCACTAAACTAATTTAAAAAGGATAAAGAAAGAAATGAAAGAATGAATCAAGTTATTTGTTGATTGATTTTTAGCACTGCACTGAAGCTATAAGGCTAATGTGGCCACCAATCAGCACTGTGCAATCTGCAGGGCAAAACTGTTTCATTCTTCTCTCAAACTGTGTTTAACAAATGTCAAGACTTGCCTGAGTGTTTCCTGGCTTTGTTTGAGATACTGTATGATATTATAATATAATATATTATATATAACATTGCAATATACTATATGTGCAGTATGGTGTTATAATATACAGAAAGATTCAGACAAAATTCAGAGTGTCAAGATAGCCGCTACTACTGTTTTTAGCCATGTGATGTACCTTTTCTGTTTTTATAGGTAATAGTATGTCATAAAGTGTCAAAAACCACAGAAGCATTTTTGTGAGACTTTTTGATAGACTACATTTGGGGTATAGTTAAAAAATAGTTTGAGAACAGATTAATACAAATAAACATTCCCAGTAACCAAAGCTACTAACCTTTGCTACTGTCAAGTAATTTTGTCAAAGAATATTACTTTTTTCAAATGCGCTTTGCTTTTAAGTGCAGGTAGAACCATGTGTCTGTCTGAGGAGTATAGCCAACTGAAACACTCAAGGACAGACAGTCCACATTACACTTGGTCTGCAAGAACATCTTACTCTGCTATTTTTGTGAAAAGATGTCTGCGCTGGTAGCATTAAAAGCATCTCTGTTTAAAACAAG